TTACAGAAAAACTGCCAAGATTAGACAGAGAGTTCCTCTTTACCCTGTACCTGGTTTCCCCTGTTCTTAGGATCTGGAATTAGTATGATAAAATTTGACACAATCCTAATATATAAAAAGTCAGGGGCTGTCGTGACTGAAACAACCAGATAGACAACCGGGCACCCAGCAGGCTGCATGGGGCAACCAAGCCAGCAGGGGGGCTAGTGTGGGATAACCAAACAACTGAACAGCAGACTACATGGGCAACTAGTCCTGTAAGGGGGAAGGGGGGGACGGGACAGTTGGGGGCTACCAGGCTGGTGGGGGGGCAGTTGGGGATGACCAGGCTGGGGGGGGGGAAGTTGGGGGTAACCAGGCCAGCAGGGGGACAGTTGGGGGCAACCAGGCTGGCAGTGGGGGCAGTTAGGGGCAATCAGGTTGGCAGGCAGAGGTGGTTAGGGGTGATCAGGCTGGCAGGCAGATGAATAGTTAGGAGCCAGCAGTCCCTGATTGTGAGAGAGATGTCCGACTGCCAGTTTAGGCTCCATCTCCTTTGTGCATGAATTTTGTGCACCTGGCCTCTAGTGAATTAATAATCTTGATGTATTTTTATTATTGACTCAAGTTTATTCTTTATTCCAAGTTTCTCAGTGTTTTCCTAATATCATTTGTTGTTGTTCCAGGATCCTATGTAGGACTCCATATTACATTTAATTGTCATGCTCCCTTAGGCTCCTCTTGGCTATGAAGTTTCTCAGACTTTATGACTTCGACAGTTTGGGGAGTACTTGTTAGGTAGTTTATAGAATGTTCTTCAATTGGGATTTGTCTGATGTTTTCCTCATGATTAGACTGCAGTTATGGGTTTTGGGGAGGAGGACGGACCACAGAGGAAAGTGCCATTCTCATTACATCATATCAAGAGTGCTGTTAAAACCGAAATTGGTTTGGCTCAGTGGATAGAGTGTCAGCCTGCAGACTGAAGGGTCTCGGGTTCGATTCCAGTCAAGGGAATGTACCTGGGTTGCGGGCACATCTCCAGTGGGGTGTGTGCAAGAGGCAGCTGATCGATGATTTTCTCCCTCTCTCTTCCTCTCTGTAAAAAAAATCAATAAAATATATTTAAAAAAAGAGAGAGTGCTGTTAAAGAAAAGATATTCAGTGACACTTGGTAAGGCAGACCCTCATCAGGATCTGCTTGATAGGTATAGGGACCACCACATTGGACTTTTGCAATGGGGTAGAGACATGTGGCCCACCGGCTGCGAGTTTGATATGCTTGAGGGATTGGGTTCACATTCCAAATATAACAAGGAAATGTGGGTCTATAGCCCCAACTATAAGGAGGAAGGGGGAAATCAGTAGGGGTAAGGGAGATTCTAGCTAAACCAACCTAATAGGGTTGTTGGTTAAGACAGGCCATGGTGGCCAGTTATCACCTGGGGATGGTAGGGAAGGAGGAGCTTGGTGAGATCAGGGTGGGTTTTTTTTGTTGTTGCTGTTGTTGCTGTTATTGTTAAAATCTAGATGTTACAAGGAAGTGCACTGGTGGGCCTAGAAGGTTCAGGAACCTGACTAAAGTTGGGTCAAGCAGACTCTTTGTGAGTACCTGCTATCAATGTGATTTGTCAACAACAGGTTGATGTTGACCTTGGCCACCTGGCTGAGTTTGTGTCTCCCAAGTTTCTCTTTTGAGAAGTTCTTTCCTCTCCTGCCTTTCCATAGTCTACTCTCTGGAGGGAACCCACAAGTTAAGGGGTGCATTGCTGTGCTCCACCTCCTTGAGAGTGGAGTGCCTGCATAAACTATTTGGAACTTTTCTGCCCAGAAACTTGTTTATTGTATCAGGCACTTTTTATTCAACACATTACCTCTTACAGTTTTCACAATTGTGAGATTTATATTATCTCTTAATTTCCAGATGTAGAAACAGGGAGTCATTGAGGTTGATTCTCCTTCCCAGGGTCACTCAGAGTTTAAGTGTCGCCCTGGGGACTTGAACTTGAGTGTTCTCAGAGCCAACTTTCTCAAGTGCCAAACTCTCTACACTGTTGCTTAATCACCCACTGAAGGTATTTCACATGGACTTATTCCTTGGGTCAACTATGTCTTTCTCTTAGGCAAGGTAAGCATCACTGGGGGAAAGATGTTCTTGGGGTCTGCATGGTGAGTCCACTCTTTAAAAGGGCTTTCTCTGAGAACTTTAGGGAATCCTATTCTATAAGTCCTATTCTAAGTTGGACTAGGATCAAACCAGATTTCAATATGGTACAAGTTTGGGTTTTGTTATGCAAGGAAGGCTTGCATATCTATACATTTTTCTCTTTCTCTCTAGAAAAAGGAAGCTCCTTTTGGTTAATGGGCCTGGCTTCTTAAGAAAAATGTTAATATCTACACATTTTAGAGGCATCGGGTCCACCCCAATTTCATTGAATGAGGTCATCTGTGTGAGCAGCGGTACTATATTCCGCTACTCTGGGGAAGTCAGTGGGGAGCTAGGAGTGATTTTACGGGTTGTTGAAAGCTCACGCCTGTAGTCAGAATGAGTTGGCCACGTGCTGGCTTTTCTGAGCTCCACATAATATGCAGAACAGATCTGTATAATGGGCTGTTTGCTTTGTGCATTTTCAATTTTTCCTCTCTCTGCCTGTTCAAAGTGTTTAGAATATGTCAGTGCAAAGGGCATCATGCTGAAAATTGGGACAGACACGCTTTTTCATGTCTTTAAAGAAATGGCTCGAAACAAATTGCAGTTGGTTTCACTAGGACCCTGGCTAAATCTGACTGGCAGGTGCCACGGAGCATTGAACTGGACAACCAACCTGAGACCAGAGGGCCCTTCCCCCCACGGTTTAGAGCAATTAAGGTGCTCTGGGCACCTGCCTGCTAGCGTTACCGCCGCCCCTGGCCCTGTCAATGACAGTGCAGGGCCACGTGGCTGACATGAGTCAAAAGGCATCAGATGCTGTGGAACCCGTGAGTCACAGCTGAGGGTGACCCCCACCTGTTTCTGGCTTGTTAACCCACAACACGGTCATATTAGTCAGTGTTTCTTTCCTGGAAAGGCTACATGTTTCTCTTTTTAAATTTTGCAGTGAGTTCAGATGTGCTGAGGTCAATGACAAGGCAAACAACAGTGCATCTAGAAGAGTCCTCAGTCTAAATTTGGTTGTTATTAACTTGGAAGTTGATGAGGAGGATTTGATATTGCTCAGGCAGCAGCCCTGCAAGGAAGGAACCAGGGTCCCAGACTCTGTCTGGGGGGATGAGAGGGCAGCAACCAACCCCTTGCTGCTGTGGGCGGAGATAATGTTGGGTGACGCTCTGCTCACAGCCTTTCCACCTGCAGGGCAGTCAGGTGAGCCCCAGGGGAGCACCTGTGTCTCCAGGCTGCCCATGCTCAGGAGGAGGCCTCTCCTCCTGCCACATCCCAAATCGCACCCAGTGCCCTTCCCAAAATCAGCTGGAAGGAGCCTCATGGTCTTGGCTTCTCCATGGTGCAGAGGCCTCATGGGGGCAGGGGGTGGTGCCCAGTTAAGGACAGAGAGTGACTGCCATGCCCACAAGGCCCCACACTTGCAACTCTACAATGCCAGTTCCAAAGGCCCAAGTACATGGTAGGGATGGATGGGGTCTTTCAGAGATCTGGGTCGTCCGTGTCTGAGGATGCGGACCGGGCACCCAGCATGGCCAGCTGGCCCAGGAGAGGGCTTTGCAGTCTGCTCCCACTCCCCAGTACGTTAGCATCACCAGTGGGTCCCGGAGGGAGATGCAGCTGAGAGGTGGTCCTGGGGGGTCGGAGGCCGAGGGAAGGTGAAGAGCAGAGGAAGCTCCCTTCCACCTTGGTGTGGTCAGTCCTGAAACAATGAGGTTTGACCCTCTAGGACCGTGCTTCTCAGCAGGTGGCTTTGCCCCACAGGGGGCATTTGGCAATGTCTAGACACTTTTTGGGTCGTCACAGCCAGGGTGGGATGAGGGGTGTGGTTGCTACCAGCAGCCAGTGGTTGGAGACCAGGGGTCTACAGTACACTGGGCAGCCCTACACTGAGAATAATCCGGGCCCAGGTGTCACTGGCGTGTGTGTGTGTGCAGGGGTGTTCTTTCACGCAAGGGCTTAAGAATAACGGCCGGTGGCCATCGGGCTGCTTGGCCCTTTGACCCAAGAGCCTGTCTCTGTGGTTCAGGGAGCCCTGTTTGAGGAAAGCTCCCACTTCATTTTAGTTTTGGGAGGTGGGGGGCTGGAGACCCCTAGGAATACTTCTTTTTATATCACATATTCCTTTTCCACTTATGAGGGTAAGAGTGGGCAGAAAATCAGGTCTCTTTTGGAAGTGCAAGACAATAAAGGAGAGAACTCTGCATTTTCTAATGAGTATTCTTACCTGCTTGGGTTTTTGCCTGAGGATCTTGGTAACAACACTGGCTGTGTTCCCTGCATGTGTGAGAGTGTGTGTGAATGTGTGTGTGTGTGTGTGTGTGTGTATGTGTTCATGTGCTTGTGTATCAAAGACAGGGACCGACACTTCTGAGCAGTAACAGAGGGTGGCAGTGTGCACTGGCACATCCTCCTGCTGCGAAGTCGGCTTTCTCCTCTCTGAAGCCTGGGTGCCCTGGGAAGCAGCCCTGGGATTCACGTTTGGGTTTGCATCTGGGCCTGGGTGTCTCCTGCTGGGAGCTGACAGCACCAGGACCTTCCCCTGACCAGCAGGGTCTGCTGAGGCAGCTCAGCACCTGTGCATGCCAATCTCGCGGCACCCTGGCTACTCAGGTTCCTCCTGAATGTGTTACCGGACAGCTGAGCCCCCAGTGGGTGGGTGAAGGGAATGAGAATAAAGCAGCAGAGACAGCCACGCGTGCCTGTGGTTCTTTCTTGCTGTCTGAGGGGCAAACCCACACTCCCCTGATGGGCTGGCCCGGGAGGTGGACTGGAAGATGTTCCTCTCTCTCTAGGAAGACCTCCCTGGAATAAGCGGTCTCCATGGCGTGCGGTCGGTTCACCTGTGCCAATCTCTTTGCAGGCCATGCCACCATCACCAACTACTTGTTGAACTACTTCCCCGGGCTTGACCTTGAAAGGAGGAACGTGTTTGGGTTCACGGCCCTGATGAAAGCTGCCATGCAGGGCCGAACGGAGTGCATCCGAGCCCTGATGCTAGCAGGTACGTCTCCATCATCCTGCACGTCCCGGGCACCCGAGATGCGGATGTTGCTGCCTTGAAGACTGTGTGCTGTAGGGATGAATCAGCCCTGTGGAAACAAGGGCTAATGAGCTACATGGCTGTCACCATCTGAAGGAAACCAACGAACAAGGGCAGCCACCTTCAGGATGGGGCGGGAGGTCACGGCACTGGTCACCTGGCAGGACACCCCTCCTTGCTCACTTCTCTGGTCTTGGTGCTGAGCAGCAAGTCTGTTCTATTGGAGTTGGGTGCAGGGACAGTGGGTCAGCCTGGTTGCCCTCCTAGATCCCTGCTTGCTGATGGTTGGAGCCAATGGTGGTGTGGTATGTGGTATGTGGCTGTGCCGGGAACCAATTCCAGCATTTAATAATTTACAAGAGTTCCATCAAAGGTTGATGGGACTTGGTGGGCTCAACAAGAGTGAGCCACATATATAATTTACTTGTTGAAACAGCTAAGGCACTTCCCCCAAACCTGGATAGGATAATTGTTAGCTGCCAGACAGCTCAGGGCATTTTATTGCCTCCTGTTGGCCAAACACCTGAACAGCTGTAGGCTATTCCCGAAACTGACTATCTCTGTAAACCCTTTGATACCTTACCCTTTGAAGTGTATATTTCCACCTTGCCTTGGGACAAATTATGTTGAATAAAAGCACGGGGTCCTGAGACACGGCGAGTCTTCTAGCTCCTTCAGCTGAAGCTCCTCTGATCCCCAATGCCTTTCAAAACTATCTTTTGTCCATGGACTCCTTCTTGAATCACATGCAGCTTCTTTCTCCAGATTGCTGAACGCTTGGTAAGGCTGGGAAAAGAACCCTGGCATGGTGGCTTCCTTTTCTATGAAGGGGCCACAGAGTGGAAAGGTCTGTGTGTAGCTCTGGATCAGCAGGTCACCCCCTTTGCTCTTTACGGCGCCGCCATCTTAGAGGAAGCACTTTCTTCTCTGAGCCTCCCTGTGTCCATCTGTGAAATGGGAACAGTGACTTCCTTCTCACCCCATGAGGATTAAATAGGAAAATTCTTTGTAGACTCTCGGGGGCTATGCATGTTTAATGAACTACTCAGCTAAATTCCACATGACAGTCTCAAGTTCTTTCCCCCACTCTACAAGGGAATCATAACATGGTTAGCACCACCTCATTGGGTTATTTTGAGAATTAAATTAGAAAAAATGTGTGTAAAGCACACACCCAGGGTCCGGCACGGGGTGAGTCAGTCAGTCAGTGTGTGATGCTGCTGTTGACATTAATGAATTTCATTATTTTAACTTATTTTGTTCTTGGCCGTGACTCACCAATCCCGCTTGGTGCTGTGGGTTCCCCAAGTGCATTTCCCTGCCAATCTTCATATCTGAGGACAGCATCCACACTCTCTGAGCTGTCAGCGCAGGCTAGTCCTTCTGTGTATACAACTTATTTTTAAGAAATAAACATTTATTTTGGAATCCTTTCAGGTGGATGGAAAAGTGACAAAGGTAGGACAGAGAGTTCCCATATAGCCTGCACTGTGTGTTAAGCATCTTCCTAAGAGGCCGACATTGGTACAAGACTATTCACCAAACTCCAGACTTGCCCAGATTTTACCTGTTCTTCCTCTGATGTGCCCTTTCCACTCCAGGGTCCCATCCAGGCTCCCACATTTAGTTGTCATGAGTCCCCATTCCCCCTGGTCATGACGGTTTCTTAGTCTTGCCTCCTTGTCCATGACTTGACCGTCTGCATACTGGCCACAGGGCAGTGCCCTCCAGTCTGAGCCTGTCTGTCGTTTTCCTTGTGATTAGATGGGTTATAAGTTCTGCAGCTTGATTTAGATTCTTCTTCCTCTTGCCTGAACCTGAGTGTTTCAGGGGATGCTGCGAGAAGAATAAACTCAGGAAATGAAGATAGAAGCTTTGAAGATGGAAATGTTCTTGGAACTAAAAAAAAAAAAAAAAATCACACTTACAATGAACCCCATTGACTGTGCTTTGGGCTCAGTGACAGTTTCCAAAGTGAGACACCAGTTTCAACAGAGCGTAAGCCCTGCCTGTCCCGTACCAGGGAGAGACCCTACTTCTGGTTAAATGGTGGTCAACGCTTCATCTGCTTTTACTCTGGATGTAGTTATAACTTCGAGTAGATCATTAACAATTTTCTTTTTCAACCAGAAGTGTGTGGTGATCAGTTACATCTGTGCATACTTCCCAGTGAATTTATTTGAATCACCAGCCCTTTTGTTTATAGGCCAGTTGCCTGGGTGCCGCTGTTGTTTCTCCTCCTGGCCTGGCGGAGGTTTAGGCTTTGGCTACACAGTCACAGAATAACAGCAACGCCTGAGTGATGGGCCTGTTTACACGCCGTGTGCTCGATGTTAGTGCTGTTCCTTTCCCACTCAGTGATGTGGATACCACATTTGGCATTGGTCTTTCTGTACGCTCCTTTTCCTATTTCATCCTCTGTGAGCCCTTTCCCATCAGTCTAGAACAGTGATCGGCAAACTCATTAGTCAACAGAGCCAAATATCAAAAGTACAATGATTGAAATTTCTTTTGAGAGCCAAATTTTTTAAACTTAAACTTCTTCTAATGCCACTTCTTCAAAACAGACTCACCCAGGCTGTGGTATTTTGTGAAGAGCCATACTCAAGGGGTCAAAGAGCCGGATGTGGCTCATGAGCCGTGGTTTGCTCACCACTGGTCTAGAGTAATCCGTATGAGTATAGACCCTGAGGGTGTGCATTCCTGACCTTTATGTGGTCAGAACAGAATGGTCAACAGAACATACTTGGAAGCCAGGACTCCTGACTTCAAATTCTAGCTCCTCCACTTACCCTGTCCATACTAACAGTCAATCACCTGGTGTTCTGAGCCTCAGTTTCCCCTTCTATGAAAAGGATAGCAGCTGCTGCAGGAAGTCATGGTGGGGGTTGAATGTGTTCCTTGGACTCATGCCTCGGATGGAGGAAACCTTCAGTCCGTGTTGGTTATTGTTGTTATTATTATTGTTTTTGGTGAACTTGTGTATTCAGTAATTATCAGTTACATTCATGAAAATATATGGTATATTTTTTTCCCTTTGAAATGTATCCTTGTGATGAGATACTTAAACTTTCTTATTGAGGGCAACAGGCACGTGACTCAGGGTTTCTTAATCTTGGCACGATTGGCATTTGGAGCCAGGTGATTCTTTGTGGTTGGGAGCTGTACTGGCAATAAATAGTAGGAGGCTCAGCTCATCCCTGGCCTTGGACAACAGGTGGCTTGCAGCATCCCCAAGATTGACAACCGAAATTATACCCAGACATTGGCAGCCATTCCCTGGGGGACGTAGATGCCTCCTGATGATGTAACCAGTGTAAGTGCGAAAAGATGGAATTTCCGCCTCTTATATGCTTTCTTCCTTCCATCTTGCCCTATATTCCTTCTTCAAATAAAAACCTGACACCTTTCTTGGGGTTTTTGGGCCTGAGTGATAGGCCTGGTCAGTCTTGAGGCTTTGGTTGATGGGCCTGCTCAGCCTTGGGGTTGTAGTATTTAACTTCCAGAATATTCCCATGTCCTACTGTTACTACTGAGATAGTTTACAGTTCTTTTCCCCCTGGTAAGTGAGTTTCATTTTCCTCTTCTGGTAGATGTATGTGCCTGCTTTAAGAGAAAAAAAGTGCGTTTGAATGTCTTCCTGGGTTTGGTGGACAGCAATAAGGACACCTGTTACATGAAAGGTACTTTAAAAACGTGCACAAGTATTTTTGCCTTATTTCCATTTAATATGGCAAAGTAGGAAAAGTTAAAGCTTTTAAAGGTCCGAATGCCTGAGTATTTCTTTAGGATTGGCATTTGTGTGCAGCTGCAAAAGTTATCTTGAGAGCTGGTCACAGGATGGCCGCCCTGTGGCCATTTCAAAGCGAAAGGCATCAGCATTACTGCACATTCAAGGTTGGGGTAAAAACGTGCAGCTCGTCCTCATTTTGTCAAGGGCAGTGCTCCTCTGTGACCGAATGAATTCCCGAGTGGCAATTTCATTATATTCAATAGGAGCTATTTTCCTTTTGGATGTGATGAGTCATTGAACTGGATGCCTCCCAGAACTGTTTACCTTTTCCAATAGTTCAGGACTTACAGGCACATATCAGCTCTTATCTTAGCTTGTCAGGCAGAATAAAGTAATGTTAGAACGACCAGAACCTTGGATTTTCATAACAGTTTAGCTCGGTTCTGAAAAGCTGATTTATTGGCTCTTTGGTTTCTGGCTTCAAGGAGCAATGCCAGGTCTGCTGATGAGGATGGTGGGGCAGGCTGCGGCACCTTGTTAATTCAGGGGAATATGAATGCCCTCCCGTGACAGGCCTGTTGAAGTAAGTGGCGCTGGGAAGCCGTATGAAGGGCGTGATTGTCCCTGAAGAGAGACAGCCTCAGCGGAGGCCAGCAAGTTCCAGACTTGCTTATGAGAACCGGGAGATGGTGTCATTGTTGCCACTCCTGGGAAGCGAAGCCAAGCAAACAAAAATGTGGAGTCGCCTGTGATGCCAGGGAACAAAGCAGAAGCTGGGAGGCTTGCTTCATAAGGAAGTGAGAGCAGAAGCACGCACATGACGGCACTGACTCTGTGGTCACGCTGTCCTAGGCTGGTCCTGACTGTGGACTTCTGGAAAGCCAAAGGTCTGATAACACAAAGGGTAGGCTATCACTAAGGTTTCTTTCTGTTTATAAGGAAAGCGTGACTTTCCCAACAATAGAATTTGCCCAGTTGGAATAGTTTCAAGCAGTCAAGGAGAAAGAGGGCTAAAAACTAGGCATTCCATATCATCCAGGGCAGAGTCTTAGCTCGGAGACCCATGAAAGCAAACCCCAAGGCAAGGACTTGATGCCAAGTCCTTTTTCTGGAGGATGCCCCTGGGAAGTGGTGTGAAGGAGAGAGAAGTGAGACCAGGACGACAGGAAAGCTAATAAATTGTGCCGAGGAGCTGGTGACCATTGTGGGCAGCTAGGAGTCAGCCCTTCCTAGAACCTCGGGAAGACCTAGTTACAAGACATCTCAGACATGCCTCTTGGGTGGGCCAGGGAAGCCAGGGTATTTATCCTCCAACAGGGGTCCCTTAGGGCAGAGGAACTCTTGGGCACATTAAATCTGTGCAGAGGGCTGGAGGGCAGATGATCTGATGCCTACTGGGGGCTCTTTCCTGTGACCCTGCATCCTGACTTGTCATAGTGATTAAACCTCAAGATACAGGCAGAGGGGGCAAGGAGCAGGCCTGTAGGACTGGTCCACAGTGGTCCTCTGTGGCTGGAAAGGCCTGTGGGCAGGAGGGAGACAGGGCTGGGCTTTGAAGCATAGATAATGTGGGGGTGGGGGTGGGAGAAATAGGGAAGGGAGTGATGCCTCTTGGACTCTGCCCGTGTCCTGCTGGTCCCATGGACCTGGCCATGACCACCTGGGAAAAGCATCCTCAAAATGAGTGACGGAAGGTAGCTCGTCTTCTTTTAGGACCTGTTTACAATGCTTCCTGCGTGAGGAACAGAAATCCTGACTTGACAGTGGTTTAAAGAAGAAGGGTGTGTATTTTTCTCACCTCTGGGGCCCTGAGGACATCACAGACCCAGTTCTTGCCTCTTGTCCACTTTGTCCCAAGCTGCTTGTCTGGTCCCCTCATGATTGCAGAATAGTCATCCAGCATCAGGCTGCAGATTCCTGCTTCAGGCAGAAGGCAGCAACCCAACCACATTGGTCCCTCAACAGGACACAACGGCCTTCTCTCTGGGGCTCACGTGGGCCACGGGATTGCCTTGGGCCAGGTGTGGGATGCTTTTGGCTTTCACAACTGGTGGACTGCTCCTGGCATGGAGTGGGTGGAGGCCAGGGATGCTGTTACAAGCCCTGCAGTGCACAGGACATGTCAATGGTGCCGAGGTTGTGAAACCCCGGGAAAGACCAATTATGGCGCATTGCTTAGAGCTGAGCACGTTGCTCCCTGAGTAAAATAGAGGATTTTGTGTAGGCATCTCACAGCACTCAACACGGGCAGCAAATGGGCCCTCTGGCAGGAACTCTACTCTTGTCTGCATGCCTGGCGCCCTGGGCCAAACAAATTGGGTAAGAGGTGAGGAGGCCAGTAGTCTCATGGGGAGAAGATGGATACAGTTATGTTTCGGAAGTTTTCCATATTCTCTGAAAGGTGTACTGTATTTATAACTGTGTTAATCATAAGCACTGTCTCTCTCATGATTTAATCACTACATCCGAGGCATTAATATTATCCTTAACAGTAATTTCTTAGGTGATTCCCTGACTTATCGCAGGAATCAGATTCCTGAGCTGTTACAGTTAGAGTGGCCTTTGTCCTTTAGAATGTTTGTATTTTCCCAGGATCCTCTCGAAGAGGTACCTGAGGACCAGAAAGGGGCGTGCTAAACTTTGGACAGCTGCTCCTTTAGCTTTCCATTAGCGTTTGAAAAATGTCTCTTTCAAGCAGTGTTCATTAAGATTTTAATTCTGCAGTTTGTTCCTTTTTAAGTGACATGCAATTAATTAAGGTTTAATGTGTCATCTATTTTTTGCATTGACACTTTTACTGCCCCCTTTTCATTTCAGCCCGTTTATAAATTGTACTCCAGCTAATGAGTTCCACCCTGATTTCCAGTTCCAAATAATTACCACTCTTCTAATATGGCTATTCTTTAATGTGTCACAGGATTAGGAGCATTACCAGGTGAAACCGGGGGAGCTGGATCTGCCTGGGCCGCGGGCTCCCCTGCTCTGCTCGGTTTGGCACATACTGACCAGTCCCCATAGTCAGGCACCAGAGTCTGCGTGGGACGGAAGTCTCAGCTGGCCTGGTCCCTGGCGAGCTCGCAGAGGAGATAGTTGCTCCACTTCTCCACATCGCTTTGCCCATGGAAACATGACTAATGGGACTTGAAATCCTGAGTGATTTTTAACTGTAGATGGGGCTGAGATTGGACCAAGATGAATTGAACAGCAACTCCTTATTAATTCTGAAGCATTCGGAGGGCCCAGTGGGTGGTGTGGGTTCATTAAGGAAGTGACTAGTGTGAGTGAGACTGTGAGGGTGTAGAAGTCAGGGTTCTCCAGGGAAACAGGACCAATGAGTGATATACTAGCACATTAAGACATTTATTTATTTATTTTTAATATATATTTTATTGATTTTTTTACAGAGAGGAAGAGAGAGGGATAGTTAGAAACATCAATGAGAGAGAATCATCGATCAGCTGCCTCTTGCATACCCTTCACTGGGGATACACCCACAACCAAGGCACATGCTCTTGACCGGAATTGAACCTGGGACCTTTCAGTCTGCAGGCCAACGCTTTATCCACTGAGCCAAACTGGCTTTGGCAAGACGTTAATTTTATTAAGAGGTGTAAGGAACTGGCTTACGTTGGTTTGGGAGCTGGCAAGTTCGAGGTCTGCACGGCAGGCAAGTGTAGGAGCTGAGGCTGCAGCATGAAGCGGAATTCCTTCTTATCAGAAAATTCGGGTTTTGTTTTTAAGACCATCAGCCAATGGGACAAGGCCCACCCACGTTACCTCAGGCAGTCTCCGTGACTTCAAGTCAACCGGCTGTGGGCATTAATCACATGTACATAATACCTTCACAGCACACCTGGTTTGTGTTTAATTAAATCCCTGAGTCCTAGAGCCTGACCATGCTGACACAGAAAACTCACTGAGGAAGGGCCTGCTCGTTGAGGGTGGAAGGTTGTCAGGGGGAGGGAAGTGCCTGGGGCTGAGGGTCATGGACTTCTCCCTTACCGGCTTTGAGAGTTCAGGCAGGTCCCTCGGCCACTGTGACCACCATCCATCCTGGAACAAACCTTTATTAAATGTACGCCTCCCACCAGCCAGTGTGCTATGTGGTGAGAAATTAAAAGCGAGGTGTGGCCTTGGCATTGGAGGAGCTCACAGTCTGGTAAAGATGACAGAGCCACCATCAACTAAGCACTCGGCGTGAGACGTGAAAACGGCCTTCCATTTCTGCAAGATCACTACCATGCCGTCCTCACAGAGACCCGTGGGGGGACAGGGAGGTAATAAACACACCGAGTGGCCAGATTATTATGATCTCTGAACGCATAATAATCTGGCCACTCAGTGTATCTCCTATATAATAAAAGGCTATATGCAAATTGTTCCCTCGACCAGGAGTTCGACCAGCAGGCAGGCAGGCCAGCCAACTATCATGTCCCCTCCTCCTGGCCAGGCTGGCCGGACTCACCCATCCATGCACAAATTCATGCACTGGGTCTCTAAGTGGCCCAGTGTGTGTGTGTGTGTGTGTGTGTGTGTGTGTGTGTGTGTCTGTGTGTCTGTATGTGTGTGTCTGTATGCGCACACACACACACACACACACCCCGAGTGGCCAGATTATTCTGCGTTCAGAGATCACAATAATAATTTGGCCACTCAGTGTAGATGCAAGGGCCCAGTACTGTGTATTTTTAGAACATTCTAGCAGCAACAGTCGCCTGTTCACAGAGCACATGTGTTGTCTTCATCTCTCCATTGCTGGAAAGCCAAGACATCTCATTGCTTCAAAAATCCCAGTGTTTCGGTGCCGAGGCCAGGTGGTTTTACTTAGGAAAGAGAGGCCATTAAGTGGAGCGTGCGGAGGTGGTCTGTGTTACAATAGGAAACAGCTGGGGACGGCCAGAGGCAGGTTCGTCCAATGTCTGTCTCCACTTGCCCGGGGCAGGAGGCCGCTGTTAGGTTTGGGAAGTTTGACACCCCCCCCCCCCCCCCCCGTTTCATTCCGCTTGCCACCTCCCTCCTAACTGCCTGTGTTTTTCAGGGGCGGACGTCCACGCCAGGGACCCCCACCGCGGGATGTCGCCCCAGGAGTGGGCCACCTACACGGGGCGGACGGAGGCCGTGCGCCTCATGGGGAGGCTGCTGGAGCGCCCCTGCGCGGAGCAGTTTGGGGAGAAGTACAAGCCGGAGCTGCAGGGGGTCCTCGAGGGGGTCCTGAAGCCCGGGAGCTCCAAAAGCTGCCTGCAGCGGCTCACGGAGTTCGTGCGCTCCACGCTGACCCCCCGCTCGCGCCCGGGCCTGGCGGACGGGGGCGCCCTGGACCACATGGTCAGGATGACCACGAGCCTCTACAGCCCCGCGGTGGCCATCGCCTGCCGGACCGTGTGCCCCGAGGACCCGCCCTGCGTGGGCAAGAGGCGGCTGGCGGTCCAGGAGATCCTGCAGGCTCCGGGGGCCCCAGACACCCGCGCCCAGGAGAGGGCCAAGGCGCAGGAGCCCGAGCAGCCATCCCGGACCCCCCAGGCTGTGGGGGCCTCCAGGGAGGGCGCCCCGAGAGCCAGCCTGGCGGCCCCGCGAAGGACCAGCCTCCTGGCGCTGCCGCTGCGGAGGCGGAGCAGCGTGCGGCCCGGCGTCCCCATCCCCCGGGTGCGCATCACCAAGGCGCCCGCGCCCACCTTCCAGCCCGAGCGGGCGCCCGCCAAGGCCGGCGCCAAGGACAGCTCGCACCTGCAGCTGCCCAAGTGGCGGTACAAGGAGGCCAAGGAGGAGAAGCGGAGGGCGGAGGAGGCGGAGAGGCAGCGCGCGGCGGCCGCGCACAAGGGCCGGCGGGCGGCGCCCTGGAGGAGGCGGACGTGAGGGAGCGGGTGCGGATGCTGCGCCCTCGGAGCCGGCGGGGCTGCGGGGAGGGTGCGGGCTGAAGGATGCGCTCCGGGCCCCGCTTTCTCCTGCGGGACAGGAGCTTTTAGGGGCCCCCAGAAGTCTGTTCAGGCTGCACCCAAGGGTGAGTGGGTCACATCACAAATGGCTTTGCCTAAAACCAGTTCTCCTGGCCATCAAATACACCTGGCGGGCAGTTTGCCTAAAAGCCTACCTACCTTTAGAAGAACCTCAAGAAAATGTGAAGGCCAAGTTATCCAAGGGCATTTTCTGTATAATTTTGTATTTTAATCACGATAAAATTTGCAACATTTTACTAGTGGTAGGGTTGTTTGTATTTAAGACGGTTTTAATGCATTTATCGAAAGATCCTTTGCTTAAAATGTTGCTCCTAGCAATAATTATGTGCGATATCTCTATGATTTCATATGCAATTTAGGAAAATTCTCCCTCCTTTTTTGCTGTTTGATTTTGATCTTGCTTTCCATTCTCATTGTGGGTACCCATAGCCCTGTGTATTCATATTGATTTGAATAAGTGATGCCAAATATTTGTTTCTATTTGATGGAGACTTTTTTTTTTTTTTACAGCAAAATGATTGAGACAGGAATCAGATTTCCTTATATCTTATTTGTTAAAGCTATTTTATTCACACGGGAGTAACAATGAAGAGACACCTATTGTCAAACTATGAGACAATACACAGAGAAGCATGTATTTATTGCTGGAACTAAACTCATTTTAAGCAAGGGATTTTAGGTAAGCCGCTACAAAATCTTGACCATATTCCAAAACAGATATAAGAAGCAAAACTCTTTTTAATAAAATAGGGGCAAAGCTAATAAATTATTATTATTATTATTAGAAAAACAAAAAGTGATATGTGCTCTTTGATAAATTGAGTTCAGGTGTTCTTAAAATATTAGAAAGATGCGAAACAGATAAGGACCCTAGAGTGAAACCCCTGGAATGGAGGGGGTAACTGGTAGAGGACCAGGGATTAGAACTGACTTTTAGGCAAAGCCTCCTCCAGAGGGCTGGGCAGTGCCCTCCTCCGACTCAGTGCCAAAGATCCCCGGTGCGGGCTGCCTTTTCCTTTTCCTTTTTCTTTGAGAGCTGCCCCGATGTTCACTTTATCCTCATACCGACTGTGTAGAATTTCCAAGATGGGATGTGGGGACTTTGGCAGAGCACAGACGTGACGTGCCCTGGGCCCTGAACTCTCAGTGGGAGTTTTCTGTCCACACTTTTTTTTTTTTTTTTTTTTTTTTTTTATCTGCCAAGCACTGAGAAACTCTAATGAATCTCTGGCCAACTGGGCTGTAGAGTATGGTCACATATGCACTACTGACAGCACTTTATTTATGTCCTGCTCGGAAGCTTAGATTTAAAATATTACAGAGAGTGAGAAGCGCTGCATTATCCTCCTGGATTCACAGGTCAAACCGTGTTCACTGGTGACATTGGGCTCGGCTGTCTCATGCTGTGGGTGGTGGCGGTGGCACTGGCCTCTCTGTTCCCTCCCACCCAGCACCACCAGGCATTGGGTAACTAGGGGTCTCATACTCACTCCCCACACCCTCCCTGCTGCACATTCCATGGGGAACAGGTGTGGTGATAGCTCCGCTTTTAAGGCCAGATTGTAGTGAGTTCCACCCATGTTCCAGAGAGGCACAGGGAGGATGGCACAGAGGGCTGGGCCCACTGTGAGCGTAGCTGGTAGCAGCTGGCTGCAGGCCACCCTGGCGCCAGCAGCTGGGATAGGCCAAGATGAGGGCTGGTCCCCGAAGTGAAAGCATCCCTGGTCTCTCTGACTGTCTGGCATCCTTTCAGATCCCATTTTTGGCGTTGATGTATTTTTGTGGCTTGGAGTGGCTGGCTGCAGTGTCTCACTCAGGGGCCAGTCCCCGCCCCTGTGCCCCGTGTCAGGGCAGGGGCACGGCTGGCCCTTCTGGTTTCCATGTCTCCTTGGCGTTGTCACACTTGTTCCCTGCCATCCCGTTCGCCTCCTCTCTTTTCCTCACCTGCCTTTTCTTCCTCTGCCGTTTTCTTCTCCGGATTTGGCTAACTGCCTTGCTCATCCCGAGCCCCACTGCTCTGAGGTCTGAACAGGGCGGGAAAACAAGGCCACTCAGAGAGGCAGTATGTGCCCCTGCTGAGTGTTCACGTCATGACCTCCAAACACACAGTAGTGAACGAAGTGCTGATTTTTCTAGCATCCAAGCAGGTGGCTTAGAAACCGCCCCCCCCCCCCAACTCCCTGGCTTTTAGGGAGGAAGCCCTAAGTTTCTCTCCTGACAGATGACAACCCCCCCCCCCCCCCCATCGATGTACAGAGGCGGGAGGTCAGGTGTCTGCTTGCACCCGGATGTTTATAAACTATAAATAGTAAATTTCAACGTGACAGGTACCTTCTCAGGGATTTATATATAAACATAGTTAGGGGCAAAGTGGAAGTATGTTTTAATACTTTGTAGTGTTTGTGTGAATCATGATTAAACTAGGCAGAGGAAATGTGTCTAAGGCAGTGCCAGTGCTGCTATTTCCCAGGGGGATGTCTGGGAATGGCCCCTCGGTCAAGGTTTCCTGGTTATTGGGAACCCAGAACCTGCTGCCCCAGGGCTCTGGGGTGGACATGGAGTGGCTTCAGCGCCTCTCAGCGGCCTGTGGATGCGGCCCTTTGTGTGTATGAAGAGAAGCTCACCTGTGGGAGCTGTGGTGGCAGGGATAACACATGGACCCTTCATCGCTGTGACTGCAGAGCTGGCTCCTCCCCATCTGACATCGGGGTGTGGTGTGAAATGACTCCCTTTTCTATGTGCTCATGTGATGAAGGGTGCTTCTGCCAGCCCAGCACCAAGCTCAGAGCGGGAGAGCAGAGAACCCTGGGCGGTTGTCTGGGGTGGCCTGGGCTTCGGGGATGGCCTGGGCATCGGGGATGGCCTGGGCGTCAGGCCGCTCGCACCTTCCAGGGCTCTCTGGCTGCGCCAGGGAGACACCCCAGAGCATTAGGGACCTCTGCCTTTTGACGCGACTCCCATGGGCAGCATGGGACACCTCAGGACTATGAAGGCGGGCAATACAGTCCCTTCGTCATCTCAGCTGCGGGCCCTCCTAAGGCCGAGGCTCACTGTGCCAAAAAGGCTGGATTTGGTAATGCCATTCGGAAGTGGGACTCGGGGCTTGGAGGGACGGTTCCAGGCGGCCTCTGCGGGCAGTGGGTGACCAGGTCTCCGGCCTCTGGGCTGAGCGGAGGCAAGGCTGCTGTCTGTGAAGCAGAATCGCATGGGTGGAGCCAGACCCTGGCCCGGCGACGGATGGAGAGCTGCTGTCCCCGGGAGGAATCCTGGGCACGGAGGTTTGAAGAAGCCTCCCTGAGGCGTAAATAACTGAGCCGAGACCACGGAGCGGGTGTGACTGGGCTCCCGCAGCCTCCGGCAGGAGCAGGTGCCCACCCCGTCCACACTACAGGAGAGAGAGGCCCTCTTTCCAGAAGCTCGCTAAGCTAAGCTCACTCTGGAGGATGAGCTGCAGCCCTGCTGCTGTCAGCTGTCCCTCTGCCCCCAGCTCACCCGCAGACGCACACCTGCTCACTTTCCCACCCTCATGCAACGAGGTCGTTCCCGGGAGTGTGAAGACTTATCCCAAACGATGGGAAGCTTCTAGTCACCACCAGCCCTTCATATGCGAAAACGCCAGCACGTGGAACTGTTTGGATTCTGGGCCTGGGCCTCAGTTTCCCCTGCAGCAGGCTCGCGTTAGCCGGGTCCCATCCAGCAGCTGCCGGGAGGGCCAGGGTCAGTCATCTGGGGAAGAAAGGATGGAAGGCCAAGCACAGTCACTCCTCAGACAGTCAGGTCACATTTATGACAGAAAATCGTCCGGCAGAGCTGTCAGCTGCCACAAAGCACTCAGCACAGAAACGGCTCTTCCAGCTGAGGTTGCGCCCTCCTCGGAGCGCACCTCCACGCTTTCAGAACTTCCGTGGGCATCTGTTCTGTGTGCCTGCTGCGTCAGCTGCTCGCCTCGGTGCCCTTGAATTCACGTGGCTCTTCATTAACATTTAAAATAAGTGGCCACAGACCTTCCCCTGGAGGTTATTTTTTCAAAGAAAGAGGAAACCCTGCAACCACCAGGACCGAGGAGCTGATTTTTGAGTGACTCAGACGAAGGCCAGTGACGCGTACAGTATACCCAACCTCCTCGCTCCAACCCAGCCTGAAATAAGCCGATGTGACATGTGTGGCCCTGTGGTGCCATGACAGCCCGCAGCAGCAAGCTGTGCCAGCATGGACAGTGTGTGATAAGGTGCGAGTGTGCCCATGCGTGCACACACAGGCACGCACACACGTGACCTGAGAGGAGACCTGGCTTTGTGCTCACAGAGGTGACTGCTGCCGTGGCTTCACGGTGGCTCCTGGGAAATGTTCGGGGTGACCTGCTTGGACGGTGTGTATTCAGGAGGACCGGACAGCCAAGGCCACTGTGGGCGCTCAGGCCAACACACGTGTAACACAGCCAGTGTGTCCTAGCCCAGGACTTCCTTTTCAGAGGCAGTTTGGCCCGGGTGACGAATAGAGGAGCTCCTTTGACATCCTGGCACGGAGGGATCCTGACGCGGAGGACTCTGGTTGGAGAGTGGCCACTGGGTGGGGCTGACTCCCTGAGAGTTGGCGCCAGGCTGGCAAAGAATCCACACTTTCCCCTTTAAGAAGTGCTGAGATTTCCCCAGGTCAGCCTCCGTGTTAGATACTCTAATCTAAGGTAACGTATAGTTTGGGGCTTGAGAGAAACCGGTCCATCAGGCTGTGATCCCTTTTTAAGGGAAAATGTAGAAGGGAAACAAAAACGAGGCCGCCGTCCCGGGTAGAGTGGGCCTGTGTTGCCCTGATGCATTAGGAAGTTTTGTGGGGTTTTTTTTGGGGGGGGAAGGGGTCACGTGGAAGCACTTTCATAGCAGTTGCAGAGCAGAAGGTCTA